CAGGACTCTTTGCCATCGACCCTGAGAAGCACGCAGCTGAAATCTCCGATGTCGCGGACATTCGGCTCAACTACATGGATAAACACGGTGTTGGGTTCACCATTCTATCGTACACAGCACCTGGGATCCAGGACATCTGGGATCCGAAGGAAGCACAGCTGTTGGCCAAAGAGATCAATGATTACATTGCTCCCGAGGTTAAGAAACACCCTGAACGTTTCGGCGCGTTTGCGTGAGTCATCCGTCTTTAGAAAGCACTTGAACTATTCTGTGGCTAACCTGTGCCAGAACCCTTTCTATGCATGACCCCAAGGAAGCTGCCGAAGAGTTAAGGCGTTGTGTAACTGAGTACGGCTTTTTGGGCGCGCTTGTCAATGACACTCAGCGGGCAGGCCCTGATGGCGACGACATGATCTTCTACGACGGCCCGGAGTGGGATGTTTTCTGGTCTACAGTGACCGAACTTGATGTTCCTTTCTACCTGCACCCAAGAAATCCCACCGGAACGATTCACGAAAAGCTATGGGCAAAGCGCTCGTGGCTCATTGGACCTCCATTGAGCTTTTCGCAGGGAGTCAGTCTGCACGTCCTTGGAATGGTCACAAATGGCGTTTTCGATCGCCATCCCAAGCTTCAAATTATATTGGGCCATCTAGGAGAGAAGATACCATTCGACATGTGGCGCATCAACCACTGGTTTGAGGACGTGAAGAAGCCGCTGGGGCTGTCTTGCAAGCGAACTATCCGCGAGTACTTTGCAAGCAATTTGTGGATCACGACCAGTGGGCATTTTTCCACCACGACTCTTCAGTTCTGCATGGCTGAAGTAGGAGCGGATCGCATATTGTTTTCGATTGACTACCCTTTTGAGTCCTTCTCGGATGGATGCGATTGGTATGATGCTCTTCCCATCAATGATAACGACAAGAAGAAGATTGGGCGGGACAACGCCAAGCAACTGTTCAAGCTGCCGGGATTCAAGGACAGTGAGGCGTAAAGCCAATACTCAAATGAAGCTTTGTAGGTGAGACTAGACATGGACGTAAAGGCGAGGCAGTGGATACAGCGTCGCTTTGCAAACGGCCTATCAATCACAATTGATAATTTCAAAATACCAGATACGATTCTGTAGTATGCATTCGTGTGTGATAGCGGGCCACTGGTAGGCATTCTGTGATTCGTAACTTCACTATTGACTGGCTACATTATTATCATTTGCCCATGGATGTAGCAAGAGTCACGAAGAATCAATTCTCGCGCATAAGAGCATCAAGCAGACTCGAGATTAAGTACTTAAGAATAGCATGATTAATGAGTGTGGAAGATTGCCGGAACAGCTACTGCTATCCGAGAGACCATTTGCGTGCGTGAGACATCGTACGGCGACCTCGAAATCATAGCTTATCAGGGCTGGTTTGTGAGGCAGCTGATCAGCAATTACTAACTAATTCTCGTTGTGCTAACATCGGAAGCCATTTAGGAACTTCCGAATGCAGCACTGTGAGCGGGGGTGGGGACGCGGGGTTCGGGGTGCAGGGTCCGGGAGCCGGCAACCGATGTGCCTACTGCAGTAAGAAACTCTCTCTTATCAGGTGATCCACACAACTGAGCAGCCCTGTTGACTTGGACTGACCGACGTCTGATCGTTTGTAGGAAGGCTTACGCATCTCCATCGCTCCACGAAAATCCTCAAGCTTCTCGTGCTCCTCACATCATGCCTCGCCCCAAAGTCCCCGAGAGCCAGCGTCAGCGTGCTGCTGAGGCCTGTAAGTTCTGCCGCGAGGCCAAGAAGAAGTGCAGCGGCACTGCACCTTGCACTCAATGTGTCCGCCGTGGTCTTGAGCCCGACTGTCGCATGACGTATCTACCCAGAGGTTCAAGAACGATAAGGCCCTCAATTACAAGGGCTAGTACTGCTGGTGGGCGAAGATCACGCGCATCCTTCGAGCACGGTTCTATCACAGTGTCAACAGCCGCTTCCGGGTCATCAAAAACTCGTCCGCGACGGCATATTGAGATTGACAAGGAGCCGTCTCCAAACCCATTCCCAATGTCTCCTTCAGTTTCTCAACAAGAATCCGAAGAACCCTGTGTTGATGCGCATCAAAGTCCCATGACACCTCCTCGAGAATCACACACCAGAGAGGGTACTCAGCCAGAATCCTCTCTCCTGGCCAATCCAAGTAGATTACTCCGGAGTGCCCACGGTGAACAAGGTAGGTAGTTATCGGGCGGTTTATTCAACCTACTATCGCGCCACTGAGATTACTGACTTTGAACGTACACATAAAAGTATTCGTTGGAGGCGCTGCAGCAATTTCGTTCCTTCAAACCGTTCGACAAGTGGTGGTGAGACAGATTGGCCCCTCACCTTTCTCTCACAATGATGGAATGGAAACGATGCTTGAGGCCGCGTCTCCGGAGGCAAGGCGGTCGATCTCATCAGATGAGGTCGTGGACTTGGGCGATCAGCAACGACTCGATTACTTGAAATGTTACTATACAATCGTAAGAGAACTTCCCTGCTCAAATTTGATTGTAACTAAGTATCTTGCCACAGACGGAAGGTCTCATCAATATTCTAGACTCTGGCGATCAAAGGGAGTTAATGTGCTTAACCGACAGCATCTCTATCGGAGTTACATCACCCTTTGACGAAAATGCTTCCGCTGACAAGGCGGCTTGGCCATCAAAACAATCATCGCACCTCTCAGATGCCATCAGGGACATGGTAATGGCAATAGGAGCACAGTGTAGCAGTGCACTAGAAGCTCAAGATCACAGCTTCACATTCTTTCGCAAAGCACAGCGACAAGCATTCTCTGGACTGCTAGAAGATCCAGACTTAGACATGGTCAGACTTTTCTTACTCATGGCATTCTATATGCTTGGGAATTGCCGCAGGAATACAGCGTATATGTACATATCCATTGCCGTAAGGGCTGCTCTTGCACTTGGCCTTCATAGTCAGACTATGTATATGTGTGAGCCGAAGTCCCATCAGTGTGGACTTTTGAAGTAAGTCATCCCAAACCGAAACACCTCTTTAAAATTTAGTCGTATCTCGCTCACATTTGCATCGCTTTAAAAGATCAAGAGTCTGGATCAGTGTGCGAATCCTAGACAAGCTAGTGAGCTCTCTCTTGGGCCGGCCTGCCGCCACGGCAGGAACGGATGCTAGGCCTCTGATCAGAGATTTGGCACCCGATTGCGACTATGGATCGAAATATCTTGTGGCAACGTGTGAGATTGTTGAAGTCATCAATGATATCAACAACATCTTATATCACGGTAAAGATGTCACGGTTCCCGTCGTGGAACAGCTTCTGGTCAATATAGATAGCTGGAAAAGGAATCTGCTCATGCCCTTGGAAGGCCCGGAAGAGCTTGAAGCTCTGGGAGACTCCATCGAAGCCAACCGAATGGCCGTTGCCAAGATCCATGTATCTTGTCTGTATTATTTTGCTGTCACACTAGCAACTCGGCCGATATTCATCTCCTCCCTCAACAGTCAAGCAGGAAACAAGATTCATCACCCGCCGCTAGCCGCGGCGTGCATCGAAGCTGCCGTGTATCTGGCACAAACGTGTGCTGACGCTCTAAAGGCTGGGCTACTCGAGAGAAGCATGTGTATCCTGAAGTAAGATTCAACCGGTTTGGTTTCAGCATCTGTGCTCTTTCTGCAAGGCTCGCTCTGAGAAAACGCTAATCATCCCACACAGAGCTTTAGTATTCTCTGCAGGACTCATTCTCGGAGTAGAGTGCTTCGCAAAGGTCAGCATCGATCTCGAGACCGATAGAGCATTTCAAGGAGCCATGGACGTTTTAAAATTTCTTGCTGGCCAAAGCCCCCAGGCCGCACATTACCTGGAAATATTGATGTCGTTGGCTACCGCCATCACAGAGCGTCGCTCAAAGTTGAATAATGCTGGAGGCAGTCGTTACGTCTCAAGGCTCTTCAGCTTGGAGAGCCTAAGCAGTGTCAGCGCTGGCAACCCGGAGGGATATACGGAGGAGGAGCCATCCTGGGCCTCAACTCGGGCTGTAACTGAACAAGGCTCTTTTGACGTTTGGCCTGGGGCTGACGGGGGGTTGTTAAACTGGAGTGAGCTCCAGTTTGACGATAGCGATCTGCACATTGACTGGCAAAGCTTAAGTGTATTTTGAGACAGCTATGTACAGATTCCTCGACAAAAGGGAAATGCCAGATCGGCAATGGTCAGAAGCTGTAGACGTTCAAGCCGTCATAATACCAGACTAAAGTTGCCCAGAAAAAGAAGAAAACAGAACAACTCCCTCACAACATTGGACTATGGGAACTTGCATCCGAAGAGACCCTGATTGAACTACGTGTTCTTACCAACAGTATAGCGGAGAAAATACAAACTATTGAAATGTGATGTGGTGGCTTGGTATAGACGTGCGCCGCCAAGGGAATTGGAATCTGATTTGGGAAGCTAGCTTCTCAGGCACACATCTTGCGGGAACCAAGATCTAATTTGCTACTCTCCATCAAATGCTTATTGCTTCAAAGTCTTGACTGTCAAGCCATGTTGCGGTTTCGTGCATTGCTGGTCATGATGAGTCGTCGAGGCTCAAGATCACTGAGTAACGCGATCTAGACAGTTAAATGCGTGTGTAGATACGACAGCTATAAGCCTCCTTCTCCATTGTTCTTTTAGACATCCTTGCTATTATTCCGAATCCAACATCCTGAGAAGCCAACCCTGACCAGCGTTGCCTCAGTTCGGTTTGATCCGTAGATATCCTTAAGAAAGTCGGCACAATGCTCCGTGTGGAACGAGTTAACAATTATGCCATCAAATGCGGTTCGTTCTTCGAAAAGGGTCCAGAATTGCTTTTTCCAAAGCATCGAACAATGGTTTAAATGGTCACGAATTGAAGTATAATAGACTTCTTGATCGCCCATTGCTTCTGCGGCTATGGGCTGCGTTAAGTTTTGACTGTAAGAGAGTATGCGTTAGTATGGACGTAATAATTCACATTGACTTGAGTAAGCATTCATTGACATACTCCGCGAAGGCATTCCAGCTATCGTCATCTTTGTATTCCGTTTCGAACTCTCTGTCGTAGCATTGTGCTGGAACCCAATAATTCAGCAGGGTATCGTACTTGCAACCCATCTTCTTCGCCTCGGCTGTGGAATTTCCGCAAGAGATATATTCGGCGTTGGAAGTGACATTATGGAAAGCCGCGATGTAGTCACTCGATGTTGGAGTTCGGATTCCCCCATCTTCTCCATCGGTGACCTTGCCGCCCGTGTTCTGGGCCATAGGACTGGGCACTAGAAGGTAGAATGCTGCGACCCATAGAACAGATGTCGCGAGGAATACGAGGACGTCTCGGAGAAGCCTGCCATGGTGTGATGTTCTTAGAGCTTGTTGTTGGCGGCGGGAGCTGTCATTCTCCATCTCGTCTTCGGTGGAAGTTCGCTTGTTAGGGTCGTCCCGAAAGCCTAAGAAAGGCTCATGGTCCTCCTGTTTTGACTCCATCGTGGCTTGTTCTGAGGACTTGTGGGGCACTTTTCAGGCTCTCGATAGCGGCCGCTTCGTCGTCGTACCTTCGTGATCGCTGATGATGTAGAGGTTAGGGAAAAAGAGAATGAAGTTCTCGCGAGATTTGAGCCTACCTTAGACTGCAAAACATCCCAGGGTTTCTCTCAGCGTCGTGCGTTTCATAAGCTCGAAACAACGGATAACATAGCCACCTCTGTTTCAGGCCCATCCAGACATTGGTGAATTTAGCGCTCGTCCCATGTTGGCACCATACATGCAATTTGGCCAACGACAAGGTCTGAGCTCGACCGCGTGCGAAACATCAATGAGACGCATGTATCGAGGCACAGAATATTTCTTAGTCCTAGTGTAAAGCGGTCTGGCAAAATTGGTGAGCCCCCAGAGATTTGAACCATCTTCTCTCCTAATGCGTCCTGAGCTCGCACTTAAGTCATTTACGGGCGTTGCTCACACTCATAAGAGACTCCACCGCCGCAGCTACCGCACCCATCCCAGTAAGAATGCCAGGGTGACCATGTATTGGTCGCGATCCCCGTGCCATCTCTCTACTGTAATTATCAACACCAACGTTGCCATTAATGTAGAGGCGGCGAAGTTGTGTCGAAAAAGTAGTTTTCTTTCGAATCGCACTACATCGCCGTATCTAGTTGTAACATCAAACTTGATTCCGTCGACTCATTAATTAAGTGGTGCGGACTCATTGCAGCTTGTAGACATGGCGAGTGCGCACGCATTAGCTGTTCGCATACAAGACATATTACATAGGTACGGCTAGCTGAAGCCGGTCACAATACTTTCACTGTGCTGAAGGCATTGATGATATCATTGGCCCCCGAAATATCCACAGCGCCAATCGACCTTAGGTGATCGACACAGGCATCTTGACATGCACTACCATGGCCAGTGCATACATTCGTCACAATGCAAAAATCAGGTATCTTTCCCCAGTCTCCTGAGCAGCACCAAGTGCAAAATGCACGTATCAAGATGTCCTTTATGCGACTGCCTCGTATCCAGAGCGAGAGTTGTGGGCAGCGCGGTTCGAGAACAGCCAGTAGATGACCATGCCGACGATGGGGAAAAGGAAGACGACGAGGCACCAGAGCACCTTGTGACTGACGGGTCGATCAGACTTGAGAACCTCAACTAAGCGGACGGAACTGTTAGCAAAGACAACATAGCTGTATGCAAACAACGGAGTATTTGGCCGTCGAGGACGCTGTTCTGGGGGAGACTCACGGAACACGATAATATCCAGTACAAGGACTATGAATCCGAGGATGCCACCACCAGTGCCATACTGCCAGGTATTGCCGTGAGCTGCTGTGCCAACAGCAGGATCGGATGCCGGCGCGGCGACAGCCAAAAGCGCGAAACAGAGCTGAAGGAGAAACTGGGCGAATACTGCGTTACGCATCGTGATTTCGTTCGTTGTCGAGAGGGTGGTGAATGTGATCAAAATTGAGAGCTTTCTGGTATGGAGGGACGTGACTCGGATTGATAGGTATTGTGATGAGCAGTGGGGTGGATGTGGGCAATAGGTAGAAGGATGTCGCAACTGATTATTCACGTGGGGAAAGCAGTTGCATTAATATTCACAACACAGCAATAGAGGTGACGTCACATGTTCGTGTCGTCTGACCAAGGTGTGCTTTGCGCTACGCCCAGACTGGTCCATCGAGATCTTGCGGAACTTTGGCGGGGTTAATGATAGGCTGAATATGCTCTGCTGACCCCTCAACGGCGGGCAAAGACAGCAAGCCACAGTAGCTTACATGTGCCTATGGCATTTTGTCTCGAATTTCTCAAAGCGGATGGTGTTCTTCGAATCGAGCTCAGGCTCGCTGATTGGCTTTCCTCTGCTCCGAAGGGCATGCTCCGAAGGTTTAGTCGCGACCCAACCTCCCGCTAGGTCGGGGCAACCCGCAAGGTGTACACGCACTTCGTCGGAGATTGATATCCGTATTGATTGTTGTTGACAAAAGTTTCGCATTCATTGAGCTTCTTGGGACCGTGGGGGCTTGATCATATGTATGCTTGTAACGCGAATCTAGTCATGGCCTTCCAGTCAGTTCAAAGACGTTTGAGATGAGCAGCTGTTCACCACAAAAGTACCTAGAGCGTACCATGATTGGCAGTCTAGTCGTTCAGCAACTTCATAAACGATGAAAAGACCAGGAAGCTACGGACTTGGGCTTAAGGCATTCGTCATGGCTCATTGACTGTGCAGTCCAGGGCTTGTATGAATTCAATAGTGTTACAGTCTCAGAGGCCACTATGCAAATATCTCGCTATGTACGATACGAAACTAACAAACAGCCCTAGAGAAAAAACTCGCGATGGATGGTACCGTGTACGATCGCGTTTGAAGCTGCAGCTAGCGAGCCAAGGTAATCGTTCTGCTGTGCCAATTGCATATCTTGGCTGGCATTGTATAGTTTCTCGCGATGAATGAGAAGGCCAGGTGCCTTGATGGGTGAGTGTTGACTTCGTGTGCTTGAAAATAGAATCAAACAATAGGAGCGGACAGACAAGGCTGAAGAGCTCGTCCCTTTCCCAGCTACCTAGTGTTCTGTACCGCCTAACTGAACGATATCGCAGATGCAGATCAAACACCTTGCGCCTGCAACTGTTTCCTAGTTTCGCGCCCTCCACAGCCCATGCAATGCCGTTGCTGACGGCCAGACTAGTCGCCTTATGTAGCGCAATGAGTCTTGTATACTTTTGCGGCTGGAAAATAATGAACTCTCATATGGTATTTCCGCCGTAAATATCTTTGAAAACCCAGCCCTCTTCATGATCATTATTGCATTTCTCTGTTTAGAGGCGGAGGCCGCAAAACATCAAATCGGTACCATGGGGTGGGTATGCTGGATGATGTGAGAATATCGATGACGTAGCCTCTGTGTCACCACACATAAACCCAAGCTCACTGCCGATGCATCAGTGCGAATGGGGAATGGATTTTGTGCATGTGATTAGGTTTTCATAGAGCCTGGAGCGCAAGGCCATTGCGTACCTCTTCCCTATCCACGAGTAGGAGCTATTCTGACTTCCTAACCTTTTGGACAGTTCCAAAAGCTCGACCGTGTTTCCTTCGCAGGCACTTTAGGAAAGCGATCATGCCTGGATTTCGAGATATCGAAGCAGCCAGCCGACGACACCGCAGAGCTTCTACCTCGAGGTCAAGGGAACAAGAAATGCTACAGCCCGCTTCCTCTTTAACTCTCCGATCCACGGCCGTCGGCATCATTGTTGGCTTCTTAATATGCCTATCCAACACGTATTTCGGACTTCGTACTGGTTTCTTAGCCATAATGAGCCTTCCTTCAACCATACTGGGCTTTGCCTTCTTCAAAATGGTCCAAGATCATTTAGCTTTCCCATTCACCCCCCAAGAACATGCGACAATGGTTGTTATTGCGAGCTCTTTGGGCTTGATGCCTTTCACCATCGGATCTGTCGGGATTTTGCCGGCCATGGAGTTCCTCACCAACGAATCGGAAAATGGCCCCTTCCGACTTGACTGGTCTCAACTCTGTGTTTGGTCCATTGGTGTCAGTATCCTGGGTGTTGCCGTGACCCTACCACTGCGAAAACGGTTTCTTGTCCAAGAGCCTTTGCCATTCCCATTTGGAACGTCGTCGGCGGCTATGATAGGATCATTACACCGGGATACTGACATTGCGGATCGAATTCTCCGCGCTCAGAATGATTTGGATAGCACTAACGACAAGCAAAAGCCATCACTTGTAGAAGACTCAGTTGATACTGACGATAGCCTTGTGCAACATGGTTGGAGCCAGAATAACAAACTCATTCTCATCACATTCTTGTTTGCGGCACTTTACGTGAGCGTCAATTTTCTTGGACCACCCTTTCGCCTCGCTGACATCAAATGCAGTCCCTCACTGCATATTTCATCCCTCAAATACGTACCGTAAATATCTTCGGCAACTATCTTGCTCGAGAATGGCTCTTTTCTCTCTCGACATCCCCAGGCTATATCTCCATTGGCTTGATTGTGCCTCCAGTCACAACCCTTTGGATCGTCGTTGGATGCTTGATTGGGTGGGGCATACTTTCACCTCTATCCAAATTCAACGGATGGGCCCCTGGCTCTGTCTCCGACTGGGAAAGCGGCTCAAGAGGTTGGATCATGTGGATAGCAGTTGCACTGATTTTAGGCGATACAGCCATCACTCTTTCGACAATGCTCCTACGTTCCTTCAATGTCTATATGCCAAACTTGCTGGGCCTCACAACATACTTGAAAAGACATCTCCGATCCGACAACGAAGAGGATACACAGCCTCTGATCAGAAGTTCATCACGGTCTAAAGCACTGCCTCTCCTTGGGTCTTTACACTACCGGGATGACAAATTAACCACCAAAGTCTATCTGATCTGGATACTAGCCGGCCTACTTCTATGCTTCGCTTCTATGATCGTCCTTTTTGGGTCTTCAGTTCCAATATTAGCCTTACTGTTGGCAGTATTCACAATCTTACCGCTAAGTCATGTTAACATTCGCTGCTACGGAGAAACGGGGACTGGAGGGGCGGCCTATATTGGTATGTGGTATTTGCTCCAACTATCTGCGGTGATAATGGCTCTAACGCTTCGGGTATGTCATAGCTAAAATCCCGCAATTTCTGTTCGCCTTCCTGATACCTTCAACAAATCCAAACGCCATTTTACTCAGCTTAGCCGTTGCTGGTGTTGTTGAAGCAAGCGTCTGGCAAGCGGCAGAGATGATGGACGAGTTCAAGATGGGACATCTTGTCAATGCGCCACCGATGTCTCTTTTCTATGGACAACTGATTGGATCGTTGGTTGGATCCGCGATATCGATGCTGGTCTACCGGCTTTACACCAACATGCTCGGCTTTCCGTCCAAAGACTTTCCCATGCCATCGGCGCACATCTTGATTTCAACAGCTCGGCTAGTATATGGCCGAGGCATGCCGCCTGGGCTACTCAAATTTGGCATAGTTGCATCGGTTTTGGGTGCTATATTCAAGATACTCAAAGATTCTAAGCGTCTTAGTAGTCGCTGGTCTCCTTGCGTACCATCCAGTGTTGCGTTAGCTGCAGGTACGTCAAGCTGCGAAGACTAAGTGGATCCCAATTCTAACTGAGAGCACAGGCATGTATATTATGCCTGAAATGATTTTGGCGCAAGGAATTGGAGGTCTGATTCATTATTATACCCTTGGGCGCTGGGGTCGAGAAAAGGAATCGCGCCTCATTTCCACGGCTACAGGCTTCATACTTGGTGAAGGCTTGTTCAGCTTAGTTACCATGATCCTACAGAGCATTGACGCGCCACATTTATAATACGTTGCGTTCCGGGATTACTATAAATCGAAACTAGCTAGATCTAACAGGCTGCCATAATGAAACGCCAAAGAGTGCCGAGACACGTTGTGGAACAAGATTTGCCAATGCGTGTTCCATGTAGATAACGAACTTTCTTTTATTAATTAGTATAGAGCCTCATTACTGTGTTGGCAGCAACTTTTCATGAAGACTTTTAAGCGATAGCTTTCCTCAGAGTGTCCATGAACTTCCATACATCCTGGAATGTGCAATACAGGGGCACCGGCGCGACACGGATAACTCCTGGCTTGCGTTTATCACAAACGATTCCTTCCTCAACAAAAGCTTCCACGACATGTTCGAGTAGGCCGTCCTTGAGCAGGACACTCAGCTGAGCACCTCTCTCGTGGGCATTCCTAGGCGTAAGAACCCTGAATGAAGGTTCGTCGGTATCGTCTGCCAAGATGCCATCAAGAAGATGCTCCGCGTACGCAGTAAGCACCAAAGACTTTGTTCGCAATTCAGCCATGGAGGTCTTGCTGAATACCGAGAGGGCACCTGATAGCGAGGCGAGATCGATGGCTGAGGGATTTGAAACTTGGAAACCACCAGCGCCAACGGTAGGGAGGAAGTTGTTGTCCATATTGAAGCGGACCGACTTGTCACCGCCGTACCAGCCCGTTAGTCTGTGGCGAAACTTGGGCTTCCCCTCGCTGGTATCGACCTTTCCGTGTCTTTCGTGGACAAATGCGCCGGCCATTGACCCTGGTCCAGCATTCTGGTACTTGTATGTACACCAGGCCGCGAAGTCAACATTCCAGTCGTGAAGCCGTAACTCGACGTTTCCAGCAGCATGAGCCAAGTCCCAACCGACTATAATGCCCTTAGACTGCGCGTATTCGGTAATTCGAGGCATGTCGAAAAGTTGGCCACTGTAGTATTGTATACCGGGAAGTAAAATGAGGGCAGTCTCCTCCGCATGTTCATCAATGGTCTTCAGAATGAGATCAGTTGAGATGTAAAAGTTCTCATCGGGCTGGATCTGGACCATCGACTTGGACGGATCCAATCCATGCCACTGAATCTGCGATTCGATCACATACTGTCTTTGTCAGCTCGGTATACGAATCGTATGTGATGACAGTCGACTCACGTGATCACTCGGAAATGGCCGCCATTCAAGGATAATTTTATGCTTCTTCTCTGTCGGTCGGTAGAAGCTGGCCATCAAAAAGTGCAGGTTTGCGGTCAAGGTATTCATCATAACAACCTCTTCGGGGAGGGCGCCGACAATGGCTGCACTTTTCTTCGCCACGTCCTCAGCCATGTCTTGCCAGCAAACAAGGGGTGAGTTTTCGAGGCCCTGGAAGTGGCCATTCACCCCAATCGATGCCCAGGTCTCCAACTGAGCGTGAATGTAGTCCTTGACTGCTTTGGGTGGAACTCCCAGCGAGTTACCACAAAAGTAGACTGATGGAGTCGCATCATCTTCGGACGACGAATGACTTCCATTGGTGCCATTGACCACATTTGCATTGCCGTTGAGAAGTTGATTGTCTTTTGGGGTAATTAGTATTGGATCTGGGATGATTGCTGTGCCACAGATTTTGTGTCACTAATTTTTGGCAGGACCTACTAGGGAGAGTTCCGGTCAAAGACTTTTTTTTGAGAGAGCCTTTCGTCGGAATGATGAACTCATTGCGCAAATACGCGAGTTTGTCTTGCGCGTCGAGCTGCTGCGCAAACGAGATGGTGTTTGCATTGGCAGGAAACTTGGCCTGGCTCCCAGAACGAATCTGCTCGGCAAATGCGTTGAAATCCATCTTAGATCGTACGACAAATTATGTCAACTTTTCTGAATGATCCGGATTCTCTCAGATATGGCACCATTCGAGGCAGAAGCAGGGCGTCTTGTTCGTCTTTGTACCTGTCCCCTCCTCATCTTACTCGAGATGGCGCATCGTCATTCCGAAAACTTCGCGAGCGGCCCCACCAACATCCGGTATCCGCTTCCGTCTCAGCCCTAGCGCTTCCGCATATAAGCGACGGTTTTCGGCTTGGTCCACTTATACCATCGGATGACAAGCGTGTCAGTGCAAGATGCATACGGAATACCGAGTAGGTACGGATACAGGTTGGCAAGCAACACGGAGACAGGGGACTTGAGACATGCAGTTCAAGAGCTACTTCTTCATCTTACCACACCCTGACTCGCATTGAACTGTTTTCTGTTCCATGCACATTATAACTCAATCAATCTCTTCTAACCCTTTTCTCTCCACGTATCGACTTCATCATAGTACGGCTATTTCGTTGTGTTATTGACATCTGAACTCCGTTAATATGTCTCCTCACGCGCTTCCTATGTTCGCAGAACAGGCACAGACAGATGTCCTTGCTTTGATGAAGAAGTACGCCATCACACAGAACGGTTTCCTGCCGGCCGACGCACCTGTCAAGGTTCTTCCGGATCCTTACTACTCACCATGGGAAACGATCGTACATCATCTCCCGGAGCTTCTCAAAGCAGGCAAGCTGCGACGAGATGTCAAAGGTCTTCCTCTTTTATCGACGAACAAGCTACGCAGTCAATCTGAGTGGAGAAGAGCTTATGTGATTTTGATCTTTCTGGCGCATGCCTACATCTGGGGCGGAGAACAGGCAGAACAGGTTGGTACTCCGTCTGACTTTACCAAGGGCCCTCTAACATCAGTTCAAGGTCTTGCCTCCAGCAGTAGCTGTCCCTCTCTTACGCGTCTCCGAGCATCTCGAAGTTCCGCCTGTCGCGACCTACGCAGGCTTGAACTTGTGGAACTTCTTATCGACCACGAACGATTTCACTGATCTGGATTCTCTTGAGTCTCTACACACTTTTACTGGCACAAAAGACGAAGCTTGGTTTTACTTAGTCTCAGTGGCCATGGAGGCCCAAGGCGCTCGAATTATGACCGACATGCTGAATGCTTTGGAGTCCATCAAGACAAGGCACTACGACACAATCACGCGGGCACTAGAAGCACTGTCTGGCAATATTCGACAGATCGGGGCTTTACTGGAAAGGATGTATGAGAAATGCGACCCGATGGTATTCTTCTACGAGATTCGTCCATTTCTGGCCGGAAGTAAAAACATGGCAGCAGCAGGCCTACCTAAAGGTGTCTTTTACGACGAAGGCAACGGTCAGGGTAGTTGGCAACAACTTCGTGGGGGAAGCAACGGACAAAGCTCTCTGATCCAATTTCTCGACATTGTTCTGGGGGTTGAGCACACATCAGAGGGCAACAGCAACCCACATGCAAGCAAGACCAACACCAGCCAAACACGAATGCCCGCTTTTCACGAGGAAGTCCGCACTTACATGCCAGGGCCACACAAACGTTTCCTCGAACACGTTGCCCGCATGGGCAGCATCCGAGAGCTTGCAAAACTACCGGTTTCGACTGTCGAGCAGCAAGACTTCTGCAATGCATACCAAGCAGCAATTCGAACGATGACAGAGTTTCGGAACAAGCATTTGCAGATTGTTACCCGCTATATCGTCCTTCCTTCGAAGAAGATGCACAGTGGCGTGAAAGTGGACTTGGCAAGCGCGTCTTCAGTGAAGGACGAACAGCTCACGGGGACAGGCGGAACGGCATTGATGCCATTCCTGAAGCAAACAAGAGACGAGACACTGCAGGCGGGACAGTTAGAGAGAGCAGAGCGGAGATGATCATTTGATGCGTCGATCCATGATATCCATAACAGTACATAGAGCCATCGAAGAGGAGCGAAATTACATAATTCAGTGCTAGACTAATGCAAGGGGATTGAAGAGTCAAACTTCCGCATGTAACCTCCATGCTCCATTCACATGAAGCCGGGTCCACAAATTGGGAAAGTTCCATCTGTATGACCGCTGTGGCCCCTTCTCAGGTGACGGGAGCGGAAGAGTGACTTCGGATCTCGGATCGCATCGCAGCTGAGCGAATAAAAAACACTAGCCATCGCAGCGGCGACGAATTTCCTGATGCTGACATGCATTTACTTCTGTTACTTCCGAAAATGTCGGTGGAAGTCTACTGTTCCCTAAACGCGCTTCTGCGATTGGAATATTCAATCCAGGCTTGCATTTTGCTTTTATCTGATAATGGTAAGATGGGGGTAGAAAATGCCCAGCCTCGACCAGAACTTTCATTTGGCCATCATACCAAGCTGCCGCTTACCGCAGTTTGATATCCCTCATGCCTTGGACTTCCCTAAACTCCACACTATAGGCGGAGTAATCGCAGTGAACCATCGTAGGGGGAAAGTAGAGAGAATGGTTAGTTAAAGGATGTTTCACCAGGAATTACTAATCATGACTGTACGGAGGAGGGGGAATACTGCCAGTCTAACAGAATATTCCGAAAAGCGAGGTTTTCGACTAATTGGGGGCCAAGCAGTGAAGTGAAAACACTCTCCAGGCAGGCATGTACGTCATCGTACTACAAGTCACGCCTGACTCACTGCAGAGTGGTGATTAGGGTAGTTTTCAACTTTCTGTGTACGATGTCCTCCTAGGATCGGAAGTGTGATGACGAGGCACCAGGTCAAGTGAGTACACTAAGGCCCCTCCTGGACGTTAGAAGTGGCTCTGTGGTGGCTAGGAGCGGCTCCAACGAATCGTGTCTACACAGTGCATCCGTCAACGTGTATATGATCGGAAGTACTGTATCATGTGCCCTGGCAATGCCAGATGTTTACCCAACCACGGCTAGCGTCGAGCAAGTTCCGCCCTCGGAAACCTTCCACGTCGGCACTGACTGGTTTCCTCCCTCCGCGTCCCGATCTTCGCTCTTCCGCATGTCTGCCCGCACAATAGCGAAGTAATTACGGCTGTATTAACACTATGGAAGATGTTTCGGGGCAAGAATCATCGCCACACGCGTATGTCCGCACAAGAGTCGCCAACGCTTGCGACAGCTGCAAGGCTCGCAAAGGTACAATTCCCATTTCGTCTCCGAATGTCTCTCACGAGCCAATTTGCTTTTGAATTT